ATATTAATTACTAATTTGCATGATAATTAGCTGATTTTTAGCTGTTCCATGACAGTTCCACTGATATCTAAAGAACCACTCATTGGATTTTGATGAAACTTAGCATATAGATGCTCCAAACTAATGCGCAGATTTGATTAGTTTTTGGTAAAAATCTGTGCAATATTAATTACCTAATTTGCATAATGATTAATCAATTTTCGACTTTTCCACTGATATCTCGAGTACTAATCATCACATTTCAATAAAACTTGGTACATAGATGTCATAGGACGCTGCACAAACCTGATAGTTTTCAGGGTAATATCAGTACATATTAATTACCTAATTTGCATAATTAATTAATTTTTAGCTTTTGATATTTCAAGTAGTAATCATCACATTTCAATGACACTTGGTACATAGTTACTTAAGGACTGTGCAGACCCCTGATTAGTATTCAGGTAAATATTTGTGCATATTAATTACCTTATTAGCATAATTAGTTAATTTTCAGCTTTTTGCCTGATATCTCAAGTACTAATCCTCATATTTCAATGAGACATGCTACATAGATCTTCTAGGACTATGCAGAGATCTGATTAGTTTTGAGGGTAAATAATTGTTGATATTAATTATCTAATTTGCATAATTAGTTAATTTGTTCCATGAATGTTCCACTGATATATAAAGAACCACAAATTGGATTTTAATGACACTTTTAAAGAGTACTCATCACATTTCAATGAATCTAGAACTATGAGACCCAATTAGTTTTTGGTAAATATTTATGCTTATTAATCACCTAATTAACATAATTAATTAACACTGATATCTCAATTACTGATCATCACATTTGAATAAAATTTGGTACATAAATGCTCTAGGACTATAGGTTAAAATTTGTTCATATTAATTCTCTAATTAGCATAATAATTCAAATTTTTTTTGTTCTGTTCTGTTCATATTAGTTACCTGATTTACATAATTAGTTTTCAGCTTTTCCATCAATATCTCAGGTACAAGTAATTTTGAATTAATTTTTAATGTGTCTTCAATACTCTCAGCACAGGGGAGTTCTTTCTAAGCTTTTTTTTATTTTATACATGGTATCTTGGACATGCTTTGTCAGTTTTCATTAAAATTTGGCACATACTTTATACATGTTAGGATACATGTCCATGACAATTTGTTTCAAAATTGGATCAAGGATGGCCGATTGACAGAAATTTGACTTTTTGGCCTTACTACTATATTTCCAAGATTTATGTACCATTTTAATTCGTATTTGGCACATACATCATACATGTCACTTTGTTTCATAATCAGATCAAAGATGGCCGAATATTTTTGGCCATATTACTATATATCTCTGTCACCCATGTATCATTTTCATTGATATTTAGCATGTCATAAATGGATACATGTACATGTCAATTCAATTTGCAATTTTATCAAATATGGCCGACTGGCGGCCATCTTGTTTGTTTAAAATGTGATAACTTGGACATGCTTTCACCTGTGATCTATGTTTTTCCCAGGAAAATCTGAGGATATGGGAAATTAAGGACCTATATCTATTTTGCCTATAATTAGTATTTTGCCTATAATTAGTAAATTATTTGAAAAAAGTATGAATAAACAACTAGTTAAGGTAGAGATGCAGGTTTGTGGGCACTTCAGAGTGAATTTTTTTTTTTTTTTGCTTTTTATTATCCAAACAGTCTTCGCTATAGACTGTTAAAATTTTGTAGAATTGTGAATAACATACTCAAAAAACAATTTTAAAATATAGATAACAGGTGCAAACATTCTCTCCTTTGAATGCTTAGCAAGATTTAGCAAGGCTGTACATAAATAATAAAAAAGAAACATGGTGAAAAAAAGAAATGGCGGGATCTCCATATTACGCACTATATTTTACTTTTAACAAAACTAAAATACATTTAAATTTGGAACTGTTACAGCCATTTTATTTATGAGCATTAGCAAACTTCTTACTGAGTGAATTGTTATGCAAATTAGCAATTATCTCAGCTTCTTTTTTGTGCAAATCCCAGAACTTTAAAAAAAAATAGCTCTTAGACGCTTTGACCTTTAGTTTTGAAATTTTCACAAATGATTGACAATGTGTTTATCTTCAAAACGCCGTTGGGGCATTGTTTTTGGTTGTACAGTGTTATAACAATCGTACACACAACTAGCCTGGGTGTTAATTTATACATAAACTTGAAGTAGTGAAATTTGGGCTGCTGCCCTGCAAAATGGACAACTGGTAGACAGTTCTTCATAGTAAACAGATGTACCCACAAACCAATTTTGACAGGAAACAGAAGCATGGTTTAGGAGCTAATTTTTTTTAAATAACTTTTGACTAAAAACGCACATTTTTGTACATATTTCAAACTACAGTGTCCATAAAAAAAAATACTAAAAAATTTTTAAAATTCATACAGTAAGCTTTCCGAAAATATATAGTTTTGTGGACAAGGGAGGTCATCTTGGTTTCCTAATTAACTAATTAAAATACCTGTCAGGTAAACTGCATCTCTACCTTAAATATTTTGATAGTCATAACATGTTCTACGAACACCAATATGGTTTTAGAAAAAAGCACAATACAAAGATCTCACTCATTAGCTTAACTCAATATCTACTTCACGAAATTGACCAGGGAAATTTCACTGTTGGGCTCTTCATAGACTTCTCTGAAGCATTTGACAGTATCAATCACAATATCTTACTTGCCAAACTTGACCATTATGGTGTTAGAGGGTTACCTTTGCAATGGCTCACCAGTTATCTTGCCTCTAGGAGTCAGTTTGTTGGCATTCACAACATTCAATCAACAAACTTGCCAATATTATGTGGAGTCCCACAGAGTTCCATATTAGAACCAACTTTATTTCTTATATACAATAATGATATCTACACTTCTTCATAAATTGTTAATTTTAGGCTTTATGCAGATGACTCAAATATATTTTACACAATTAAAAATATTAATAATCTTCATTTACACTTCCTTTAAATGATGAAGTGACCAAGGTTACAGAGTGGTGTGATGTCAACAAGCTGACTATAAACGCAACCAAAACCCAATATTTAGTAACTCGTAGTACTAAGAGAAAGATACCATCACCTTGAGTTCTCTGACTGAATGACACAACAATTCACGTAACAGATGGTGCATCATTCATTGGTATCACAATAGATAAAAACTTATTATAGGAAAAAACCACATCTTGGGGGTCAACGAAAACATCAGCAGACTTACGGGTATATTCCTTTAAACTTCATTATATTGTTCCTCAATCTATTCTTTTTAAGGTTTATAATGCTCTGATACTCTCTCGTATTTCATATGGTTTAGAGGTATTGGGTAATACCTATACTACTTATTTAAAGAGATTCTTCTTATTCAAAAGAAATTAATTAGAATAATTACTTTTAGTGATAGACATGCAACCTCAGCACCATTATTTAGAAAACTAGGAATTTTGGATGCATTCAAACAACACAAATTACAACTAGCCATATTTGTCTACAATGTTATTAATAATAATAATAATAGTTTATTACACAACTGTAATCTGCTGTGGATACAGTAAGGTGAAAAGAGTGTAAAATAAAGCAACTAAAAATTACTACAAATTTAAAAGTTCTAATAACTACAAAAAATCAGAAAGTAATAAAAATACAGTAAATAAAACAAAATAACAGGTTACCATACATATTCCGAGATTACTACGCCCCAATTTTTCATTCACATAGTACCAGACAAAATCAAAGAAATGATTTAAAATCCCCCAAATTAAACATAAAGCGGGAGTGTTCACCATTAAGTATGCAGGAGCAAATTCCAATTCATATCAGGAATATACAATGTAGAATTACTTTTAAAAAGGAATACAAAAATTGCCTACAAGCCAGTTACACATAATTCCCAACTTAAAAAAAATAAAAAAAATAATATTTTATTAAATTTATTAACTTTTAATCTGTGATTTAAAGCACAGGGGCTGGACTCGATTAGTTGCTAATCGCAACTATTTTCGACCCCTATTCTATTAGTATATTTTTGTTTAATATATATTTTGTGTGTTGCTAAGAATTACTTTTTTTGTTTGTTTGGAATAAACATCTATCTTTCTATGTCTTACACCGGAGGGGTTGTCACGCAACACGTGTTTGAATTTGATGTAAATAAACAATCTGTTGTATACGCAACTTTGGACTCTAGTTTCAAGGACACGCTCGCGACAATCCCTCCACTTTAATATGACGAGCACAAAGAGAACTTTCAAAAATTTAATGGGGACTGTGTCATTTTCAATGACTTGTTCATAAATATAGTGTTACTGTCTTGATGATTCAGTAAATTAGTGTTGTAGCGCCCTCTATAAAAAATTCAGAATGATTTTGCTTGAGTGTGTTGGTTCTAAATGCCTTTTTATTGCTTATTAGGGCTTTGCCAACACAGCACTAGATTTATGATTTATATTGTTGCCTTATTTGTCATATGAAATCATTATTTCGAAGTTATTTTCAGCATGAAATTTTGATTCTGATTACAGAATTAAAAATACTATTGAAATACCTATAGTATTTGGTACATAAATACTGTGATGTTTAAGTTAACACTGACTGGAGTAATTATTATCTGAGATGTTTTTGTGTTTGGTTCTACTACTGAATGGTTGTTGTGTTGATGCCCTCTATCAACATGGGAACACAGTTGTGATGTTTGGATGGTTCAATCTACCATAACCATCTAACATGCACACAAACTGGATATGGGGTGTAACTTACACATGTACCATTCAATATCACAAAAATAAAATTCCTCTTTACTAACTATCATGATATGTGTGTCATCATGACAAAAGCAGGGTTCTTACTTGAACACCATTCCCGCTGCATCTGGAAAAATGGTCTATTGAAGTGTTAATCAGTTACAAATTTTATTCTTTACAGCCATGTAAAGTGGAATCCTCTACGAAGATGGTATGTAAAGCACCAGATATCTCTGCAACAAATATTGAAACAACTGCAGAACAACCATATAAAGTAGACTATGGCTTTATATTGGATAGTGTGGAGAATACAACTCATCTTATCAATTCAGAATTTGGAGCTTTTTCATATTACCCTAATCCAGAGTACTACCCATTTGAAAATGGGGTCAAAGTGTACAGTGGAGTTGGGGAGGACCCATTAGTAATTCCGGTAAGGAATGTTTCAAAACCAGAAATGTTATCTTGTGAAAGTTACAAATGTGATCTTGTGAAAATTAGAGATTACAAATGTGATCTTGTAAAAATTAGAAATTACAAATGTGATCTTGTGAAAATTAGAGATTACAAATGTGATCTTGTGAAAATTAGAGATTACAAATGTGATCTTGTGAAAATTAGAGATTACAAATGTGATCTTGTGAAAATTAGAGATTACAAATGTGATCTTGTGAAAATTAGAGATTACAAATGTGATCTTGTGAAAATTAGAGATTACAATAGTGATCTTGTGAAAATTAGAGATTACAAATGTGATCTTGTAAAAATTAGAGATTACAAATGTGATCTTGTGAAAATTAGAGATTACAAATGTGCATTCCATAATGTTATCAGTGAGTATCAGAAATGTGATCTAATGAAAATCTAGTGAGACCAGAAATTGATACTGGTGTGGTGGTGGTGGTTTTATTGACTTGTGCAAATTAAATTAGTGAAATGAATAACTGACAATGAATGCCTGATTAAAGCAACAACTACTGGTATAACATGTGATAGCAGTGAACAAAAAAAACATGGTTTGGAAAAATTGAAGAAAAAAACTTGAAAGCAGACTCAAATGCATGTTATTGTTTAGAATACACAAATGACATAAGTGAAAATTTACTGTTTATTTATCTGTTGCAGTTGCTTTTTCAAAAGTATTTTAAGTGAATATTGTTTTATTGACAGGGTCAACATTTGAATTTGGCATCGTCTGAAACTGATGTCACTGTGATGATAGGAAGTGAAATCTGTGAAGTGATTTCATTGGCCTGGAATCAGCTGACATGTCAGCCGCCACGGCAACAACCTAATGGAGGAAGTGAAGAAAAAGGAGTAGAATTATGGGTAAAATTGTCTATGACTGTGATCCCCCAACTGAAGAACTCAACAGTTGTGTTTTGACATCATTTTTAAACCCTTTTGAACATGGCTGACGACATTAGTCATGTTCACCAAAATAAACAAATAATAAAAAAAATGCATAAAGATGTAAAATATCACAACAAAATTTGTGTGTTCAATGTATTAATTAGTGTTTGCGCCCTCACAGATTTTACCTGCAATGTCTGAAACATCAATCATTTGATATTTGAACTTCTTTCCTGCTCTCATTGTAACAGATGCATCAGAAAAGTTGTTTTCTTTGGTCTGTGCCTGAAAACTTCCTAGTAAAAGAGTTAGTGTTAAAATGATACATTGACATTGTTTACCTTTCTAACTAACATGAATATAACTATGTACTAGATTTCAATATGATAGACTAAAACCTAACCTTGTTTGTATTCAGCTCACTTGGAGTTCCCCTCACAGGAAGGTAAATTATAACCTGCTGAGTTGCTTCTTCATTGTGATAAATATAAAGAACAACAGACCCAGTGCCTCATTTTCTTGAAAAAATTACTAAAAAAAATGTTTTCTTTTTTTGTGTTCAAGAGCGCAGGCTGGCAGGGTTCATTTCTAGCAATCTAGCAAATTCAAATTATTTTCATCAGGATTGATCTCTGTATACATTTATTAAAACTGCTACATCCGTTTATTATTCTCTTGTATTTCTGTAAACATGTACGAATGTTTCATAATATTCTTTGGTCCAAATTATCTTATTGCAGATCTACCATGGTAACCTGAATGTCACCACAGGTTCTTTAAAGTATGCTTCTGCTGGGCCACCATTGTCTATAGAGGCCATCATTGCTATTGCTGCTGCTGGTACCGTGTGTTTAGTTGTTTTCATTATCATTCTGATTCTGTATCGACGCAAGTCTACAGAAAGTAACAGGAATGTGAAAAAGTTACAGGTACAGCTGGACATGTTAGAGTCACGTGTTGCCAAAGAGTGTAAAGAAGGCAAGTGTTACTTTTACAAACCTTTCAAAGTTGGAGTTCCAAATTTATGTATTAGTACTTGTGCTCACTGTAATTTAGTATTTTCATGTTATTTTTGTTTGTCTGGCAATGCTTGTGTTTTCAAGGGAATATTTACCATAATAACACCAGTTCCATACCCCAATCTTATAATTCCTTGATAAATGTTCATTTGTTTGTACTGACAGCATTTGCAGAGTTACAAACTGAAGTAACCGAGATGACAACTGATATAGAAGCTGCTGGTATTCCATTCCTGGATTATCGCAATTACACAATGAAAGTCTTGTTTCCAGGAGACGAAGACCACCCTGTACTTAAAGAACTTGAGGTAATTCAATAATTGAACCGTGCTGGTTCATTTCCTTATGCAAAACATCATTCGTCACAATCATTTCTGGCCCTGCATCGTTTTGATTTTTGCATGCTTGGACTCATAAGCTAGTACAGCAAATTCTTGCATGTCAGGAATAAAATCAAGATTGAAGTCTTGCACCAATGTCACTTTGTCAGAGAAAATGTTGATGGGGGTGGTATAAATGTTGTATAATGTTGTAAAATAAAGGATATTATAGGTTATTAAAAGAGGAAATTACTATGAATGTGCAGGCTTATGCATAAATAAATCAACCATGATTAATGATTTGGGACTGAACACACTCTATAGAATATATTTAGGACTGTACCAAGTGTTCACCTATTTGGTTGAGACCTGTACCAAACATGCTTTGTGCAACTATTGCCACTTGTTTATGACAATTAAGCTTCGTACAGTTATCAACACCTACTCATGCATCAATTGTCTTCACCAGGTAAAAGGAGCAAGAAAAGCAGATGTTGAAAAGGGTCTTCGGGAATTTGGTAAACTTATCAACAACAAGACATTCTTGTTGATATTTATTCGAACTCTTGAAGCACAGAATAACTTTAAAATGAAA